CTGCCTAGAAATTGCAATTCTTGTCTCTTCTAGCTCATATTCTAGAGCAACACTACTAGACCTGACTAGAAACTACCCTGTAAGTTTTGTCCCAATCAGGAAAGGTCTCAAAAATGCGAAGTTAATATCCATTTGATATCCATTTGATATTCAACTTATTTCCTAATTCTTACTGCCTACAAATTGCAATTCCTATCTATTATAGCTCATATTCTAGAGCAATACCACCAGACCTGACTAGCAACTACCCTGCAAGGTTCATCTCAATTAGGAAAGGTCTCAAAAAGGCGAAGTTAATATCCATCTAATATCCATTTGATATTCAACTTATTTCCTAATTCTTACTGCCTACAAATTGCAATTCCTAACTATTATAGCTTATATTCTAGAGCAATACCACCAGTCCTGACTAGCAACTACCCTGCAAGTTTCATCCCAATTAGGAAAGGTCTCAAAAATGCGAAGTTAAGATCCATTTGCTATCCATTTGATATCCAACTTCTATCCTGATTCTTAGTTCCTAGAAAGTGCCATTCTGGTCCAGGTCCCTTCATATTCTAGTGGAATGCTACTAGACCTGACTAAAAACTGCCCTCTAGGTTTCATCCCAATCGGGTAAAGTCTCAAAAATTCAAAGTTAACATCCATTTTACTATTCATCTGACATTCAACTTCTTTCCTGATATTGAGTTTCTGGAAATTGCACATCTTCTGCATTAGAACTCCTATTTTCGACTCACATTATTAGCACTGTCCAGAAACTACCCTGTGAATTTCATTCCAATTGGCACAGGCCTCAAAAATCTCAAGCTTATATCCATTTGATGTCCATCTGACCTCATTCTTCTTTCCTGATATTGAGTTACTAGAAATTGTGAATCTTGTCCCTTAGTACTCCTATTTTAGAGTAACATCATTAGCACCGACTAGGAACTACTCTATATGTGCTCTACCAATTGGGACATCTCTCAAAAATGCAAAGTTAACCTCCATTTAATATTTATTTGACATCAAACTTCTCTGCTGAGATCTACTTTCTGGAAATTGCAACTCTTCTGCATTACAGCTCTTATTTTAGACTAACATTGTTAGAACCAACTAGAAACTACCCTATGAGTTTGATCCCAATTGGGACCTGTCTGAAAAAAGCGAAGTTAATATCCATTGAATATCTATTTGATATGAAACTTATTTCCTGAAATTTAGTTTCTAGAAATTGCAAATCTTTTGTATTAGGTCTCCTATTTTGGATTAACATTATTAGCACTCACTAGAAACTACCCTATGAGTTTGATCCCAATTGGGAAATGGCTCAAAAATGTGAAGTTAATATCCATTTAATATCAATTTAACATCAA